CCTTCAGTGCCAGCCAGCCGTTGTCTCTTTTTGTTGTTGTTGTTGTTGTTGTTGTTGTTGTTTTCGTTTTTCGAAACCTGCAGGCCTGCCCGGTGCCTGCACTGTATGCCGTAATGAAGGTAATTGGGGCGTAGCGGCACCGGCAGTGCAGCGACAAAGTTTGCCTGCCTCCGCATTGTCCCCTGATTGTGCGGAGGCACATGACATCGCGGCGTCCCGGGCCGAGCGGGGCCGAGCGGGGCCAAGCGGGGCGGAGCGACGGCCGGGGCACTGCGAATGGGCCCAGTGAAGCGAAGCGCCGCCAAGCACTGCCAATGACTCGGTAAAGCACCGCAAAGCACTGCCAGTCTTTAGTACAGCACCGCAAAGCACTGCCAGTCTTTAGTACAGCACCGCAAAGCACTGTCAGTCTTTAGTAAAGCCCCGCAAAGCACTGCCAATAGTTAGTGAAGCCCCGCAAAGCACTGCCAATAGTTAGTACAGCACCGCAAAGTACTGCCAATTGTTAGTAAAGCACCGCAAAGCACTGCCAATAGTTAGTAAAGCACCGCAAAGCACTGCCAATAGTTAGTGAAGCACCGCAAAGCACTGCCAGTGATTGGTAAAGCACCGCAATTTAGTACAGCACCGCGAAGCACGAGCAACAAAACTCGGCCTTGCCGATAAGCTCTGCGAATACGCGCCGCGCCTTTCGGCTGAACGGGTGAACCCGCGGCCGTGTCGCCGTGTCCTGCGGCGCCCATAGCGAGCTCGCTATAGCTCAGCGGCTTTGTCTCATGGCTTTGCGAAGCTCCATTCCTCACTGCGTGTTTGTGCTGAGCCGCCCGGCCATGGACGCGCAGGACGCGCCAGCGGGGCAGCGCGACGATGGGGGTCGTGCACGCGCACCTAGGCATCTCCAAGGGTCAGCGAACAAAATGGCGAGGTGTTAAAAAAGATCGACACGGCGCTGGAATTTTCCCGAGGGTTGCAACTAGTCCCCGTTTCTTCCTTCGGGTGGTAAGTAGTTAACGCAGGCGATGCGGCACTTTCCAAAGGCACAGGCCTGATGGCCAGGGGAGCTCTGATTGGGTGTGAGGGTTCGGTTTACCTTGAGATCAAGCCGGACTTTAGGGTTCCCTTGACTCTTGGTTGGGTGGGTGCTCCCAGTCGCAGGCCCGCCAACTAGCGCTCTCAAGCCGCTAGCCAGCTCGTCAGTGGCCGCAACACTGCGAGAAAAAAAAACAATTATATCCATTGCGAAAATCAGCATAGTATTGTAACAGTAATCGCACGTGCTTAAATTCGACACGAGTGGGAAAAGGGAGTAAAAGAGGCATCGACACGAGGAAGGCGTGGGTCTGTTCCAGCGCGCTCCGTGTGTGGTCCTGGGCGGCCAAGGGCAGCGAGCGTGGCCAGGGGCACACTCGGACTTGGAGGGGGGGAGGGGGAGGTGCCACCGCCACGCCGCCAGCGTTGCGTGGCCGCGGCCGGCAAATGATGAAATGTAGCCCCGCCGCCTCGGCCGCCTCGGCTTCCCTCCGGCAGCAGCCAGCCACCCCAGCGCTGCGCCGCGCGACATCAGATAGGGGCGTGAGACTGATGCCTGGCAGGCTCGCGGCAGCCCGCGGCACTGCCGGCAAAAAACACCAGAAGAGGAGCGGAGACTGAGCCGGCAGGCTCGGAGAGACCCGACGAGATGCCGGCAGAAAGAACAGAGAGAGAGAGAGAGCCTCGGCCCCTGCCATGCGGAGGGTAGGCCTCACACCGCGCAGCCCTGCGCCGCACATGCCGCTCCAGGCCTACCAGCCAGGCGGCTGTGGCTCCACTCGAAATACGTAGCTTGGACCACAAATGATCCCTTGCTTTTCGCTGTGGCGCAGGGCACGCCGTGCGTTTCAGACTTCGACCCTCTGGGGCCGGGCTGGGCTGGTCGTCCTGCCCGCCTGCCTGCCCACCCGCCTGCCTGCCCGCCTGCCTGCCTGCCCTGCCTGCCTGCCTGCCTGCCTGCCCGCCTGACGGCGTCGTCCGTCAGCGTCCGGCGAGCTAATTTGCAGCGCGATCGCTAATTTCGCAGTGGAGCGATGAGGAAATTGCCAGCCTTGTTTATTCCCCGCCTTGCCGCCTTCCCTGGCCTCGCTGCGGAGCGCTTCTGGGACGCCACACTGTGCAAAAATGTTTGTTTACAACGACTACTGTGAGCGGAGTTTCACTTGTGTTGATTGCGGTCGGTTACAACATTAGTAAGTTGGAGGCTGGAAGTTACAGTGTCCTGCGGTGTTTTATCTCCGCGATTCGTGCGAACACTGGACTTGGACTGGCAGTGTGCCTGCGGTGTCTTCTTGTGGGAGGCAAAGGGCGCCGCTGACGAAGCGGCAGTCGGGGAATGCGTGCCGTGCCTCGCAGTGCCGTGCCGTGCCGCGTCCGCCACCTCGGCCGCAAAGCTCACGGCGGATGACGCGGTTAGGCTGACAGGAAACTCAACGTGCACAAAAAAATAAAATAAAAAAATCGGATGCAAAATAAAGCAGAAAAAAATGGAGGATGGCGTGCACGACACCATAAACACCTCTCTAACTACTCCCCTGACAGTTGGCGACTCGATACAGGTTGCGTGACGCACGCCGTGGTGCTGGGGAGGGGGAGGGGAGGCATGTAAGCAACAACGACCAAACACCCCCTCCCCCGAATCCTCCGCCATCCTCCCCGTCCCTTCGAGACGCATCTCTGCCGTGCATAACTGCTGCAACCAACAAGGCAGCAACTCCCGCCAACAGGAAATGTCCGCGGAGATCCGAAGAGTCGTCCCGACGCTCGTCTTTGTCGCACTGCCGTCGCGGTGCGAGAGAGACGCACGTGACTCTTCTGAAGTCGCTCGGCCGGCCCCGCGATCCGCGAAACACGATTCCCGAACGAATACCGGTGCGGCTTCGGGAGTGTTGGAGTGTTTCAATTCCAACCGCTAGCGGATCGGCGAAGAGCGGTGTGCCTGATACAGCAAAACAGTTGAATATTTGCGCGCGCAATAAGGCACCAGGGGCAAGGGGAGGGAGCACGATCGAGCAGGATTCTCCTCTCTTCTCCACACAACACTGCGCGCAGCCGCAGCACAGTGGGCCGGAAGACCGACGGAGGCGGCCAAAACTCTAAACGCGTTTTGAGCTCCAGAGTCGCTAAATGGGACTCGAAGCGAACGTGTGACCCCACCAATGGATTGCTCTCCGAACGAGGAGTCCATTGGTGGGGTCACACGTTCGGTTCGAGTCCCGTCCAGCGACGCTGGAGCTCAAAACGCGTCTAGAGTTTTGGCCGCCTCCGCCGGTCTTCTGGCCCACTGTGCGCGGCAGCCACAGTGCGCCGCCAACGATTCAGAGGGAATTGGAAAGCGCCCCTGGGCTTGATTTCGTGTGGCAAACGGCAAACCCAGATCCGGCATCCGGCAGGGACTAGACTGCCGCGCCGTGTCTCGCTTCGTTTCGCCATTCGCCTCCGAGCTGGTTTATATCACAACTACCGCCACGCCGGCCGGCCGGGCCGCGTGGCACTACAGCGGGTGGGGAGGTTTTTCATCTTTGGGAGGTTTGAGCGTGGCAGCGTGGCGGGCAGCGACGGCGAGGAGGAGGCCGCGCTCCGGGGGCAGACCGAGACCGCGCGCTGGCTTCGGTCCTTCGGTTTGTTTCGGGATACGGTGCACCCCGCCGCACCCCTCCCCGCCCAATATCCCCCTTGCGAAATAACGGCGTTGACTCTCCACTGCTGAGGTCGGCACCACAGCTCCGACTGAGTCACTGAGTCCTCGACTCTCCGGATCATGCCCTTACAGTGGCGGGGCGCGCCCCCAGCCCTGCCTGCGCCCTGCCCCTGTGCACTGCCGGCCAGCGGGATGCGACGTGGGCTGCAGAACAAAAGCCCCCCCCCCCCCACACACACACACAGAGCTTCTTTGAGTGAGTCTCCCGGCTGAATCTTTTAGGGTTTTTTTGCGAACTGAAACGTTGAAACACGACGCATGGTCTTTGGAAAATTTTTGCCCAAGGGCGCATCTCTTTGTATGTTAAATTGAGCGTGCACCAGGTTGGCGAAAAAGTCCTTTAAAATTAAAAAATCCCATGGGTTTGCAAACTCGTTGGCGAAAACTAGAAACTTAAAAGGAGCTGGTTTACTTTGGCGTCCAAAAAATAATAATTTCCCAGTCCAACCAGGAAGGTCGCGGATCAAAAGACGGCATCAGGATCCGCGCTGTTGGCAGCGCCCGGCGAGGCGGGGCGAGGCGGGAGTGGCCCCAAGCTGGACAACCCCGAAACATGACCCCACCCCGCGCGTTAAGATTTATACCAAGCTTTGGCCGGCGTCATCTCCGGGCGTGGTAGCCTGGCTGCGTGGCGTGGCGGGCCGGGGGCGGGCCGGGGGAGGGGCGAAGACATTAACGTGCTCATTTCCCTCTGTCCAATCTCCCCATGCCGCCGGGCTGCCAGGCTGCCATGCCAGGCTGTGCCAGCATCCAGGCCTTCACGACACTCTTTTAAAGCTCGCCCCGACGGGCCGACGAGCCGACGCCACCAGGCTGACGCCACTGACGCCACGACGCTCCGTTCTCCTTGGTCGTTCCCTCGGGTTGGGTTTTAGAGGAGGCAGCTCGGCAGAGTTCCGCCTTGCCTTGCCTCGCCTCCGAGCGCGGGAGGGGGAGGGGAGGGGAGGGGAGGGGGCGGCATCCCGGAAAATTAAAGGTGTACTGTACTAAAAGAACCCGGCCGACCCACCCGGCGGAGGTTTTCGTCTGAACCGTTCAATTTAGGCGGCTTAGACGCTGGTTCTTTTGTCCCATATTTCCACCCTGTCTGCAGGACGCGAACCTGTCAAAACGCCGAGTCTGTTCTGCGTTCGAATCAAAAATATAATTCGTGATCTTTCAATCCCCTGCCCACACCACCCCGCATCCAGCACCCTGCTGCTTTGCCGCCTCGTTTGAAATAGCGCGCCAAAGGCAGCGCCACCAGTGCACTCTGGCGCCAAAACACCGCACTGTTGGTCGTCAGTCAACTGTCGTCAGCTGTTTTAAACGCCTCCCATCTAAACAAAGTAATGTCCAACGTATTTATTTGTGAAAGTAACTGAATGATCATGGACTCCGAATCAATGAACAGTGCGGGTATCATTATAAGCCCCAGTACCCACCAGAAAATTAAAGCAAGGAATGCTGCCATGCGATTAAAACATGGTGTGCCACAGTTCAAAGATGTTCTTCGAAAGGTTAGTTACCAGTTCATCATGGCATATTTGTATATTTTTCGGGATCTGTATGTTTTAAAATTTTGAAATTCAATTTTTTTCTCAGCGTTTTCATAGCCGGATCAAGGAAAACAGAGGTCGACTCTTTGATCGCCTGAGAGATGTGTCTGGTTTGCAAGGCGGAAGCGTATCTAAAATCATTCAACAGGAATTGGCAAACATTTTGGATAATGAGTTGTATGTGCTTATTTCTCAACCAAATTTTTGCTGTTCGACGCCTGGTATCTTTTCAACTTCAATTTCTATTTCAGACTAATGGACAGTGATGATGAAATGCGCATTAAACAAGAAATGGAGTTCGAAGTATTTGGACCAGAAGGTAATGCAGAAATATTATGGTAAAAGAACAGTTTAGATGACTTAATTCACATACGTATTTGGTTTTCCCATTCTGTTTTCTTGCAGAGAACTGGGTTATGCATCAATACGATTTACTCATGGCTGATGATAATGCATTGCAAGAACTCTGGGAAGAAGCGCAGCTGGTAGTATGTCCAGTGTGTCGAAGGGGAAACCTTTCATGTGATGTATTTAATCAATTGATAAGTTGTGGTAACTGCCGCATGGCAGTGCCTGCTCGGGCCTCTATCCAAGAAATACAAGATCGCATCTATGTCATTATTAATAACCATAGTGAGACTGGATGTCCAGAGGTCACTCACTTCTTTGTGTCGCATGAAGATTCTTCTCTTTATGCACATTGTAATACATGCCCCTTTTTTGACTTAACTGTTTGACGCTTCATTCAGTCAAACAACTGTGGGGATCAACTTTGTCAGCAAGCAATCAAATTTGTCAAGGTATCAACTAATTTTTCTGACCCTGTAATTTTTTAAGTTGTGATTGATTCTAGGTGTGAATTCATTGGTCGTTGGACAAGGTGTGAATCTAATTTTGTCATTTGATGTTGTTTGATCTTGCTGCCCAACGTCCAGTCAATTGACCCTTTGCCTTATCAGTATCAATTTTTTCATCTTCACTTTTCTATTCTCTTTTAGGTAACATTACCGCTCTGTGATACTATTAATAATTTATGAAATTTAGGAGTTTTGATATTAAAAATAGTACAATTTTGATGAGTGTATTAATGCCCATTCTATGGCAACATGAAGTTTTATCTCAGAATCTGTGACAGGCACTACCATCAGGACCATCATAATGTAGAATGTGTTGGGTACAAAGGAGTAGAAATCAGTAAAAATTGTCTATATTCAAAATATATTTTGCTCAGATTTTGTTCCACATGAATCAGCATTTCAGACAAACAAATTGATATAATGTCAGTCCAATTACATTAATCACTGGGTGGAGACTATTAACATATGATTAAAAATATGTTAACAGTGTGTGGAAGACATGTGGCATTTCTTTCTTTCGCTTCAAGTTAGTGCAGCGCAGAGATCAAAAGTTACACTAGGCCTTTCACGTAGTGACAATGGTCAAGAGATAAAATACAGTTTCATTGCCCACTCAACTATAAGTGACTGTAATTTTGCATTTATGCCTATCTACCAAAACTATGAATTAAACTCTCCCTTTTTGATTAGGAAAAGTCAAGGAAGAGTATAAAAGGGGAGATAGTTAAAAAGATGGCATGATAATAAAGTCAAATACACAAAATCCAATGAACACACAATACTGACTACTATGAGATGACATTTTTGTTAACACCGAGGTACAAAGTGAAAAGATCAACTGACCACATAATTTGAAGTTAATTCAGTCTTTCAAAATTGTTTATGACTTCTTTCCAATAATGACTTGCCATTAGAATACATTAGCTAGCCACAAATGGCACAATTTCAATTGTGGGATAAATTTCTTATTAAAATTTAATTGAGCTTTCCAGAAAAAACCACACTCTCCCAATTTGCCTTCAAAGGGAAAAATTGGTCTACAACTTCATTTACGTTCTTGGTTGTTTTAAAATTTGAGGAAACTGACAGGTAGATTTACAGTCATGTCCAGAATGGAAAAAGCCTTTCTGAAATTACCTCTCCAGTAGTGAAGTAAAAATTTGTACATATCACATTCAGAAAAAGGAGCTTAAGAGACGCTTTGTAACAATTACAAATGACAAAGGGCAGAGTAATAGTCACACCCAACACAGTACACCATACAATTCACAAACACATATCTCTTTACAATAACAAAAGTAAAACAAAACAACATAAATTATATGCAAATATAGATTAAACATCTGTACATAATAACAAATCATAAACTTATGTTCACATTCTACGTGTTGCTAATAGAAAAATTGACAGAACAAAGTGAGTCCATTTTAACACGGGAAAGTTATGATGGCACATTTAACCTGTCTTAGCAGGAAAATAAAACTTGGTTCAAAAAGGCATTTTTCAGATTCATAGGAAGTAGGTCAGGATGGGCTTCACAGGGAAGACAACACAACTCATTGATAAATTTTTTCACATGCAAGCATGAAACTTGGTTGATGGCACAATTCACTGGCATATCTCAGGATTCTGAGTATGACATAGAATAAATGGCACTGAAGTTATCATTCCCATGACTTTTTTCTTAAACCTCCCTAAAGCTCCAACATCCTGGCCTAAAATAATGTCACATAAGCTAAGGCAAACTTTGCTGCAACTCAAAACAGTCATTAATTATGAGTCAAAACAAAATGACTAAGAAGGTAAGAAGCACAAAATTTAAATTTACAAACTCGTAATGGTAACAATTGTACCAAAAATAAAAATAATAATCTATAGGTGTCCTTAATTGAATCACTCATGGCAACTGACCAATTTTAAGTGCTATAACAATGATACAAAAGTTATATAATAATGCATGAAAGTTTTTAAAACAAAATATCACAGCAAAGCTTCCTTTGCAATCATCTACCTCATCTTGAGCTCAATGTTATTGTCCACCAATAACAGCAAATCTGGGGAGGCAAGGGAACAATGAGCTGAACAGAGTGATATCACTAATCTCATCTCTTTAGCAGGGAAAGAGGAGAGAGATTACAAAGGATAGAAAACCAGAACATAAAAGGAACCCATGAGTAAGAGAGATGGATTTTTGTGACATCAGAACTATTCAACCAACTAGAATGATACAGAACACATGAAACTGACAGGCGTCAACTTCTACTCATTTTGTGTCTTAACATGTCAAGTTCATGCTGTAAACTACAGATTTTTTCTTGATTGACTAGCTTTTACTATGCACTGTTATCACAAACAACTCACTTCTCGCCTTAATTTGAAATGCACAGACTGTCACGTGACACAACAAGGCATCCCTCATGTCATAAGTTCCACACCTTTCTTGTTTCATATTTTTTTTGTGAGCATAAGGTGGGATTTTTTTATTGTCACACACAGCACTGCACAAGTCAACCAGGCTGTTGAGAACTGCTGCTGGCATTCGAACTTGAAGCTCCACTGCTACCAGCTTCATTCTTCAAAACTGCTTGTCGAGCTTCTTCAGGGAGTCTTGATGGATCGGACAATATTTCTGTTGACGTGCAGAGAAACCGGAGAGAATTCAAAACAACTGGAAATTAAGAAAAGAAAATTAGGAAATCAGTCACAAAATTTCTTTGAATTTTTCATTCATGGTCTGATACTAACCAGGACGCAATTCAACAAGGGAACAATGTTTCTCAACCCATTGCATTGTAGTTCTGTAGAGCTCATCAACACTTGATGTGGAAACAGTGCTGTTGAAGGAGTCCAATAATGGCTCAACCATTAGACTAAACTGTACAAAATGTTAAGGAAACCTTTACATAAAATTTGAAATATAAAAACAAGAAGGATGCAGAAGTGGCATTAGGTTGCACAAATGTGAAATGGTTCTTCCAACAGAGGAAATAATTTAAAACCAAAACCAAAATAGCAGTCAAAAGGATACAATCCAAAACTTCCAATTGTTAAGGGTTTGACCTCGCACATATTCCTCAAACATTTCCCTCATTTTACTGGCACGGTGGCGGGAGACAGGTGCTCCAGTAGCGGGAAGCATAGACTGACAGTTACTGCAACAGAAAGAAAGTTGTAACAAAACGAAGTTAAATGCACCTCTTACTATATAATTATCCAACATCCCAACATACCTTATGGCACCATTTAGTTTCTCTATTTCCAGTCGAAGCTCATCCATCTCATCTTTCAGTTTGTTCCGTTCTCCTCGCAACTGCTTGATATATTCTGCACCTTTTTGGAGCATTGCAGCTTTACTTGTCTAAAAATTCAAGTTCATTAGGCTCAAACCGATGTTTAAAGAACTCAACTGCAAAACAAGAATTTAAGTTTACCTTGGTATTTGGATTCTGTCGAAGTTGGGGAATGAGTGAATGTAGTGTATCGAATCCATTCTTAATATTACAGCGCCTTTTCTGCTCTGCATTGATGTGGTACACACGCCTATGTTCCTGTTCAAATAGAATGAGATTTTGTTAGCATCATGTTATCATTTTCTGATGCTTATATCAGCAATAGAGTTCTACTTACACCACGTCCAGACACTTTCACTGTCCGGAGATCTGTGTCTGATTTAGAACCTAAAGGCGTTGGAGGTGACATGTTTTCCATGTTAAGAGGAGAAAGGCTCAAACCCACTGGAGAAGGAACTGCTGAACTATCACTTGCTGTGTCAGAGCCCTTGCCGGTAGCCACAATAGATGAGGTGGAGGTACTTGCAGCAGAATTGAGTATTAACTGTAAATGAATTATAAGTGAGTTATTACAGTGGTGTGATTCTGCCAGATAGGTGGGTGCTAGGGCTTATGTTAACTAAATTAGAAAAAGGCAATTTGAAAGAAGTTACTAACTTGCCCAGTGCTGGAACTTGGTTGAATGGTCATTGGAACAGACGATGTTATAAGTAGAGCAGTTGTATGTGGGACTTGGGTTTGTTGAGCACTACCACCTGTCGGCATAGGCAGGATGGGAATATGGCTCTTACTAATGGGTACCCGTCCACTTGGCGAATCGGATCCAGCAGTGAAGTTGTACACAGAGGATGAGTCTAAATTGAAAATACAAAAAGAATATTATGAGTACAATCAATTTTCTTTTTATCATAACTCTCCAAAAGAGCAGGATTACTCACTGACTGACAGCAGTTGGGCCAAAAGTGCACTGCTGTGAGCAGAAGAGAGATCAGGGTTACTGGAAGCTGACACAAGGGGCCGCATGCTCCTTGGTGCCATGCCAGATCCTACAGTATTTACACCACTTGAACTTGTGGCAGATCCAGAATTGCCTGGTAATAAACTTGAACCACTTCTTGAACGGTTTCTAAGTTTCTGGTACTGTAGAAAAAAAATGAAAAAAATTGAGAACACACAAAATATACCCACACATTAAAGAATGGCTCGGATCACATACATCCATCAAATATAACAATGCTATGTTAACAAACCTTCGGCACAGCAAATAATTCAGTTTCTGATCTGGCAGGTGTTTTATCAACTGAATTTAAACTTGCAGTATGAATATTACTCATACTACTGGTGGCCACACTACGCAAATTTGTACCACTGCTTGCATACCTAGGAAAATAAATATAAAGACAAACTGTAAGAACACCAGAAAACAACAATTTCAAAATAGCTCAAGCAAAGCTAACTTACGCAATAGATGACGTGTGCGTAGAAGGTAAACTAAAACTCCTTTGAGCTACATTTGTACTGAATTTGAAAGCCTCAGGAGATATCACAGTTTGTTGCTGAACCTGCTGTTGAGTTTGCAAAGGTGGCTGCAACTGTGGACTAACTTGATTAGAATAAGGCTGAGACTGAATTTTTATCTGAAAGGAAGACATTGGAACTGTTAATGAATTAATGGAAAAACAAATTTTGCTCGATGAAGACTGTCTAAAAATTGATTTACCTGTGCTCCTTGAGGCTGGGGTGACGATTCCGGCATTGTTGGCGGTAGAGGAGGAGGTTGCGGATGGCTTAGAATCGGTGAGGATGGAGTGTACATCTGATACCCAACTGCCTGACTTTGCTGGTCTTGCGATTGTTGTTGGTACTGCTGCTGTTGGTGCAATCGTTGCTGGTCTTGAATGGGTAATTGTTGATGAGATGGCTGAAAAGGATTGCAAAGAAAGAATACAAAAATTACAAAGAAAAGAATCAACAGATATTTTACAAGAAGTGAAGGGAGTTGTATGCTTACCACATGAGTGATTTGTTTCCTCACAATGGACTGCTGAGGTGCCTGAGTGAGTGCTCGACTTTTGGTCTGGGCTGCTGGTCTCACATTGCGACCTTTTGAAATAATTGGTTGAACTTGTTGAGGTAGTTGTGACAGCTGCGGATGATGTTGCTGCTGAATAAGTTGCATGGGCACTTGAAGATCCGATTCCGAGAAGGTTACTTTGTTACCAAGTGATTCTGAGCCCAACGATTCTACACTAACATATTCTGGCTGTCTGTACGGATCATTCATATGCTGGTACATTCCCTGAAAGGACAGCAATTGTTAATTCTAGGTTAAAACTTTAATTTTTAACAAAAATAGTTTTAGAAAATTTACCATGCTTTGTGATGATTGGTCCAATTGCGACATTAGGGAAATGGTTGAAGACGTGGGTGCAGACTTGCTTAAATCAGGATAAGAAGCACTTGTTGCTGGTAAACTTCGAAGGAGAGCATCATCAGCTATGGCTTCTTCAGGTACAGGGGGAAGTCTGTAAGAAAATAGCTCTGAAAAAGAAAGAGGAGATTTAGATGTTTGTATTGTTTTGTAGCATGTTAAGTAAGTAAAATATTGCTGATAAAGTTACCTTGTAATGGTTCTAATGTGTCCATAAAATCATCCAGATTCGGTTGAAGCTGGACTAAGCTTGGCTGAATAAAGTCAGCGAGCCCTGCTCCCTTAGCTGAATTGGAAAAGGGTTAAAGTTAGCAACATTCATGGACATTGAGCCAAGAGCAAATATATTGAATGTTTCAAGCATGGCAATGTCACCAACGCTTACCTATCTCTCTCGTATCTGGGAAAGCAAACGGCTGGTTCGACTGAATTGTAGAGAATAAGGTGTCACTCATAAACTCCATGTAATCCTGGTCAACCATCATCGACATCATTGATGAGGAATCGTTGCTGTCTGGCTGCCAGTCCAGCATGTCCACATCGCCAAACTAGAACAAATTATTTCAAAAGCAAATTTTAATGTGTTGCTCTTTTAAAAAAATAATTAATATTAAACTCAAGATAGACAACGGAGCCTCACCATATCTGGCCCGTCTTTGACACATCCCAGGATCCGGTTCCTGCGGTACATGCGCCATTTTTTGTACTCTGCGGTCACAGCTGCCAACTTCCTCTTCCAGTACTTGCCCTCCAGCACCACTGCCTGGAACAGAGTGAGTGACACATTAGGGAAAGGGGAGGGGCCGATGTCCAATAGTTTAGCCTACTGTCCAGGAGCTTGTAATCAGCCCTCATTTTAAAAAAAAATTGACAGAGTAGGAGAAGGGCATGTGGAGCAGAAGCCAGTGCAAGTCCCTTTCCTCTCTTGAGCAACTCCTAATGGAAACTGTCGGTCCCTTTAATGGAAGGAAACCTCCCCGGGATCTTCGCTGGGGCTTCACATGATGGCCATGGAACACGCCGCACCCCACGCCCACGCGAGGGGAGGGGAGGACAAGAAGGCCCACAAAACTTACTTCCGGTTTGTTGTGTGTGTCCACGTCCAGGGGCGAGGCGAATTGACACACCAGCGTACTCTGCTTGAGGATGACTGCAACCAGACAACACCAGAGTCACTGAAACCGCCTCACTCAGACAAAACAGCAGGCAGGCACGCCATCCGACACTCACACTGCATGTGCCAGCACCGCCAGATGACGTTGTTGAGGCGAATCTTCTCCTTCCATCTTAATCGAATGCCTTTGAAGCGGTTCCACTTGGGCGAGGTCAGCTTCTGCCTGAAACACACCAAAGCCAGGGGCGTTAGTCGCAGTCACCCAGTCACCCCACCAGAAGCAAAGGACGGTCATTCGCATTCGCAGTGCGTGCGGAAAGTAAGTAGGCTGATTCAATCGCCTCTATCGCCCCATGAGTGCGAGAGAGACAGAGCGATGAAAACGACTTTCTGAATCAGCCCGCGCAGAACAGAGGCCAAGCCGTGGCACTGGAGTCACGAGAGTCGGGCGGGGGCGATGCGCCCATTGAGTGTGGAGGTGGGGGAGGGCACCGGGATGGGACAGGTGGCTCGGGGACACGCCCCCCGAGCCGTCAATGGAGACGCAGGCAGAATGGGCGCGTGGCCGCGGGGCGTGGCGGGGAAGTCCATCGGGCTCGGCAGTGACCGCAGGAAGGCGACTGCACTGTGAGTAGTACTCGCACGGACACACACTGGCCGAGCTATTTATTGCAAGTCGCCCGCCTAATCCGGCCGGATAATCTTCGCCCCGCCCCGCCCCGCCCCTCTGAGAGCCAGCGACTTCCAAGAAGGGGGACGCTACGCTACGCCGGGCCGGGCATTGCCGCGACGCCGCGACGCCGCGCTCAGTCAATTGGAGCCAGTTGTTGTACGTACATTGTGGCGACGCGGCCGCCATGCCGCGCCATGCCGCCATGCCAGCGAGACAATCACAACCCCGGCGACACCCGCCGCTCATTTCCATGAGGGGCCCCTCGACGCCGCGGGCCGGACTCGAACACGTGTGTTTGTCGTTTGTTTGCCGCCGTTTTTCGGCATTGCAAGGGGAACGCGGACAGCGCCGATGCGCAGTTCGGGCCCAGTCCCGGAGGCGACTGCACTCTGCCTCGACTCGCCGCGACAGAACTGGCCGATTTTGCGCGCCCGCGTAATCCGCGGTAACTGCCGCCGCCCGTACGCAAGGCGACGCAAGGCAAGGCCGGTAGACGGGGCCATGCCACCACGCCGCCACCCCGGCCCGCAAGTTATCTGGTCGTCGACCCGCATCGGGGACCCGCGAGGGGCGGGGCGCGGCGGGGCGGGGCCGCAGGACAACAACCAGGCAAATTGAAAAGGGCAGTCTACACTAATCTGAGGCCGCGGGCCGCGACGCGCTACGCGCCGCTGTACGCGCCGGCAGCCGTCGCCAAACGCAACGCGACGCAGAGAGACTAGCCAGTCTCGTTTCCGACAGTCGGTCGCGGCCGAGGCGGCAAGGCCGAGACGCACATCACCCCGCCCCGGCGAAGTAGCATGAGATCGGGGACCCGTGGGCGTGGTAAAGCGGCGTATTGGGTTCGTAAAGTAGGTACACTAGCAGAAAAACTCACAAATTTGATCATTTTAAGGGCTTTATGGTCTGTTTCACTAAATCCTACACGCGAGGCGTAGGATACGAGCGTGTGACCCAGCCGCGCAATAGTCGAACGCGCGCAGAGGACTTTAAGCCAGCTGATTTCCGCCGTCGGTCGCGGCAGGAGGCGCGAGACGCAACCGACTGCACCTCCGCCCCGCGAGCGAAAGTGCAGCATGGAGGCGATGCAGGCCGGACAGACTGGCGCGGCGTCACGACACGTCCAAGTGTGGGGGACGCAAAAGTGCGAGCAAAAGTGGCAGAGTGGGCGAGTGACCCTGAGTGACCTTTCGACGAGTCCGGTCAGGTTCCACACTGCTCCACAGCCCTGCCGGTCTAGCGGCTCTGGCTCTGGCGTCCTTCGGCGGCCCCACCCCTCCCTCCACGCCGTGGGCTACTACGCCTGGGCCCTCCTTGCATAACGGCAACAGTTGTGGGAGTGGTGGTGGAGCGGCCGAGGCGGCCGAGGCACAACGGCGGCAGCGAGCCCACCACACCATGCGGCCGACTGGCCATTCGAGCCCCGCGCGGAGTATCGAAGCATCGAAGCCGCCTGCAGTTTGCTTCAGAGCAGTCGCTCTGTCTCTCTCGCACCCCTGCGCGACGCGTCACGAGTGCGAGAGAGACCGCGGGTCGGCCGCGCGAGGCATCAGCTGTTTCCTCGCTATCGTCACGAATGCCACGAATTGGAAAAGAAGAAGCGAGCCTCTCTCTCCCTCTCGAGCAAGAGCCACCCCGACACGACCAGTCCGCGGTGTTCCGGCGCGCTCCGCCCGCCCGGCCGGTTCAGGGTTCGCGCCGCGCAAGCGCCGCGGGGCCGGCCGAGCCATTCAGCGCTGCCTCTCTCGCACGCTTCACGGAGAGCGCCGCGAGTGCGACAGAGACAGAGCGACTCTTCTGAATCGCTCGGCCGGCCCGTCAGTAATCCCATTGTTGCTATCTAATCGAGATAGCGCGCCGCCGCTTGGACAACTGCACCACATTCGCACTAAGCGACTCCCGGGCCCCGGGCGGGCGGGCTGTCAGTTGGGTAGTCATTCGCACTAGACCAGCAGTGCCCCACCGGGACCGGCAGGCCCGGCGGCGGGCCGCCAGGTAGCCCCGCGGGTCCCCGCCACGCCCCACCACCCCACCATGGCGCGACTAGAGGCGCGACCAAGCAGAGCCAAGCAGCGCGCCAGCAAAGCCCTACCTTTTTATTTCCCTTCGAGATAACCAACACACGTGCCGCTAGCGGTGCCGGCACTGGTGCGTGAAGAAGGATCCACTTGGCGACAGCGTTTTGTCGCAATGGGCGGCGCGGCGCGGCAGCGGCGGGGCAAATTAACGCGAAGCCGCGTTTTCAAGCCACACACACACACACACACACACTCGAGTCCCCGCCACGTGGCGTGTGGCCGCACGTACTATCTGACCCGCCAGACGACCCCGTTCCCACACCGCTACACTGTGCAAAATCGCGCCAAAAAAAGAAAGACGAAACCGAATCGATAAAGAAAAAGCAAAAGCAGTCAAAGGGCGCGTGTGGGAAAAGTCGCAAGTGTGCCGAGCAAATAGGAGGGAAGGACCTCTAGCTTCGACGGCCGTCCGCGCGTGGCGGTGGCAAACACGAGTCTGCGTCGCTCCGTCTCTGTCGCACCCTTGGGGACGACCAGTGGGCGCGAGAGAGACAAAGCGACGACGATAGCAACCCCTCCCTCCCCCCGCACTCACTGCAGACACTGCATCCACAATGTTGTCGCTGGCTATAGATAAATTGTGTGTGATATACAGTACCAGGAGGCCGAAAAAATAAACGGCAACGCGAAAACACGACAGATTGGCAGAGGCAGCCAGTCCGGCAAAGACACACTGCGCCCCGCGGGTCAGGGGTTGACTGCATGCTGCACTTCTGCGATCCACCGCCCTGTTTTCGAAGACCACCTCGTTTATCACCAGACGGTGACATAATTTCTCTGTTTCGCTCGACGCGCGCCACGCGATCCTGCCCAAAGGTAAAGGACCCAACTATACCGGATTTGCTGGACAGTTGCGGCTCTTTAGTCCAAAATGAAATTTCGCGGGTAAAAAAAGATATATTTTTACTAGACTTTTTTTTTTCTTTTGCTTGAGAAAGTGACCCAGTATGCAGGGTGTCCCAACCCCGCTCCAGACTCCGTCCCGTTATCCTTCTCCAGCAGAGCATCGAGCAATTCGTACGCAAGTTGCATCAGCTGAAGTTCGATCGCCGCGCGGCCCCATAACCTCACTCTCGCAGGCGGGGAAAGTCGGCACAGGATTTATCCAGGGAAATTGCGTTAACCTTCCGAGCCCTTTTCTATGGGCCATGGGGGCAAAAGCACAGTGGGCCAGAGGCTTGGCCAGAGGACCGGCGGAGACGGTCGAAATCCCGGACGTGTTGAGATCCGGAGTGGCTAAACAGGACTCGAATCGAACGTGTGACCCCACCAATGGATTCCTCGTTCGGAGAGCAATCCATTGGTGGGGTCACACGTGCGGTTCGAGTCCCACTTAGCGACTCTGGAGCTCAAAACGCGTCCAGAGTTTTGGCCCTTCTAGTCCCCGGCTTGATTGGCTGAGAGAAAAGAGGAAAGTGGAAAGGGAAAGCCCCGTTAAGCGCTATCGACGGGCGGCTCGTCCTTGGCGGGTCGGCCGGCCCTAGTCCGCCAACCCGGGCCAGCCCGGGCCACACCGCCACGCTATCGGGCCTAGTTTTTGCGCAGCAATACTTATCGGCAGACTGGCCCGGCCGTGCCGCGCCTTGCCCAGTGCCACCGGCTTCGCAGCTTCGCTGGGCCCAAGTGCTTTATCGCAGGGTCACGGCTCCTCTGCGTCGTCCGCGACCCTTCGGGCTTCGGGACTTGAGACTGTGCGAATCCCCCCGTCGCACAGTGGGCCAGAAGACCAGTGGAGCGGCCAAAATCCTAGACGCGTTCTGAGCTCCAGAGTCGCTAAATGGGACTCAAACCAAACGTGTGACCCCACCAATGGATTGCTCTCCGAACGAAGAATCCATTGGTGGGGTCACACGCTCGGTTCGAGTCTCATTTAGCGACTCTGGAGCTCAAAACACGTCTAGGATTTTGGCCGCTCCGCCCACTGTGCGTCGCGTGCCCTGCCGGGCTCTGCCCCTCGCGACTGCGGGCGGAATGAAAGGTCAGCTCGCTATCGACGTAAAACGTCTCGGAATAAGCGCGCTCCCCGCAGACGACGCGAGATGATATCGGGACGACAGGACGAAGGCCATGAAGTAGGAGACGAGCGCCGTCGAGTGCGCCTCCCTAAGGGTCGGTCGGGTCACGCCGAGGTCGTGCGCACCCGAAGCAGGGGGCCAAATCTTTGCGCAAATTTGGACACAAACTACACTCGCAAAAAAACAGAAGTACGCCTGTCAGCATTTAGTGTGCAGTGGCGCGCACACCCGCGCTCCAAGGCAAACGCGATGCGCCAGGCTTGGAGTCTAGAGCGGTCTCCACTGAGCCACCGCACCGCACCGCGGGGCCCGCGGCGACATCTCCAAAAGCAGCGCTGCCCCGGCAAGGTCGGGTAGGGTCAGCGATCCGGAGCGGCGTGGCCGGGGCCCCGGGCGGGCGGCGAGCGAGTCCCAACGGCAGCCAAAGCCGATCCGAACACGGTGGGTCACCCAGGCG